TGTCGACCAAGAATTTCCGAGTCAGCGATGGGGACTGGATCTGCCCGGACAAGAAGTGAGGAGGGGTCGGGGTTGGGGCCGCTCCTGCGGCGGGGCGGGCTCCGCCACCTCAACCCGGGGCTTGCGGCTGGGAGCCCAGAGCGGCCTGGCCGGGCTGACCTTCACCCCCGGCCCGGGCCTGCCCTGCTCTGCTCTTGCCCCGTTATTTTCTGCCCTCCAGGCCGGGGGAGCCACACTGGGCGCTGGAGGGGGAAGGGGTTGAGGAGCGCGGCCGTTGCCCGGGGAAATTGCGGTGCTGAAATGCTCAGCTGCTTTCTCCTGGGCAGGCCTGAGTTTCCCCCCAAGTTTGGGTTACCAGAAAGGTTTTCCCCAGAGAGTTTCCCGTGGCAGAAGCCGAGCTCTCGGTTGAAGAAAAAATCTATTTTTGCAAAGGTTTTGATTCTTAAAAAAAAAAAAAATTTAGGATCCACCTGATTGGATGGAGAACAGCTAAAGTAGCCCCCAAGATGGGAGGCTGTCGCCGGCTAAGAATCGCCCCTCTCCTAATATGTCATTGCTGAGAGGCTGATTGATCTCTCCAGCAGGGAGCCGCAGGAGGGTGCCACGCCACGTTAGCACCGGTGGTTGCACCAACACGATTCAGCAGATGAACCCGGGCACTTTGCATCCAAACCCATAGCATCCAAATTTTTGTCCTGCTTTGAGGTTTGCAACAGACGAATTGCGCTATTGTGTTTCTATAATTAAACAAAACAAGTAAAAACAGGAAGAGCTGGTGTTTCCTGAGAATGCCTTGAACCTAAAACCATTGAGAACTACTGTTCTAAAGGCATTTTTATATGTGCTCTGGGATGATACCAGACACTTTAATTGGCAAGCCATGCTAATTACAAGCTTCTGCACATCACGTGTGTCAGTGTCCCCATGCTGAAAAAATGGCAGTGGGGCACTTTGGACTAAAGCTCTTTGAACATGTTTCATTTCTGAGCACGCCACCACCATTTTTTCAGTGCGGGGACACTGATACATGGGACGCAGAAGGTTTCCCCTAGAGCACAATTAATCGAGTCTGCTCCGACACGCCAGATTTTCAGTGCATCGGAGCAGGCTACTCACGCCTATGTGAGCCCTAAGGTGTTACCTTGCTCTGCTTTCTTCGTGGCTTCAGATTAGCACAACTGACTATCTCTTTCCTAAGTGACAAAATGTTGGTTGAGGTGTCAAACTAGATTGTAAGAAGAGCAAGTAAGTCCTGATCCCACACCTTGTTCTTTGCATGTGAACATGGTCCCTGGGCCTTCTCAAAGTTTAGGTTAATGTCAGTGGGACTTTATATGAAATAAATCACAGGAGCTCGGTCACAAGTTATACAGTTAGGGACATATGGAAGTAGAGGTGCACCAATACATCAGATCGGCACCAATTTAAAGAAAATTGGCTGTACCAGAAATTGGCCGGATGCGGCTGATAAATGGCCATGTGTGCAGCCACAGTGCAGCACATAAGCAGTGAGGAGCAGACCTTGGCAGCATGGAGAGCTTTGTGCAGCTGCTAAGTCCGTTGTGGTGGAAGGGGAGGGGGGGAAGTAAGGGGCATGGGAGGGCAGATCAACGCCTCCCCGTGGTGAGGGAGGAAGAGGGGCAGGGGCAGACTCTGCCTAGCTGGGGCAGGGCAGAACGAAGCCATGGGTTGTCTGGGTGGCACAGGGGAGGGGTCAGCCCCCTCTGCTGCTTGTACCCCAGGAGAGCGCAGGGGGGTGGCGTGTGCCCCTGAATCTGTGTGGGGCGGGGGAGGCTGCAGCTCAGGGTGCTGCCCGGCTCTTCTCTGTACGGGCTGGGCTTGGGGGTGATGAGAAGAGCCCCAGCTGCAGTCTGTGTGCCCCTCTGCCCCCGCCCCTGCCCAGACAAGCCAAGGCTCTGCCCTGCCCCTGCCCCACTCCCTCCCTTACCGCAGAGGGCATTGATCTGCCCCCACCGCACCCCTTCGCTCCCCCCTCCCCTTCCACCGCAACGGACTTCCCAGCTGCATGCAGCTGTATCGGAAATCAGATCTGCATTGGCCAATATTCATAGATTCATAGATTTAGGGTCGGAAGGGACCTAG